CTAAAAAGGAGCTAGAAGGTGCATAATCTCCATTTCTGGAATGTGATGTGTTAGAAGCAGCTTCCCCAGTGTTGGGTAAAAAATGAAAAGTTTCCTTATAATTCAAAAAGCAAACCAATAGTATTTATGATGATGACATTTAGACAACTGTGAGGGTAGTTATTGGTTACTGATACATTCATTTAAATTTTTAAGTTGAAAAGTGCACTTGTTGAAGTGGTAAAAACCAAGTGCATTTGAAAAGTGGTAAAAACCAAGTTATTTTTTAAGATACGTTGAGAAATCCAATGTGTTTGGGATATTTGAGACATTCAAATGTTTGTTCTGAAAACATGAAAATCTAGGTATCTCTTGTTGACATACTAGTTTTCAGCATCTAGTTTGCTTCATTATTTCACTTAGTTTTATTCATCAATTACACCTTCACCTCTTATGTCATATTCTCAGTTTTAGCCAATTTAATTACAATCATCAACAGCAGAGACAAAGGTAACTAGCTGTGTTTTTAAAGCTCACATTCTAGTGGAGTAAGGAGACAGGCCAGAAATGAGAGAAATAAAAAAAGAAATAGCATCCAAAGGCGATAAGTGGTATAAGGAATAACAAAGAAGGGAATTCTGAGATGGTAGTGGGCTGTCACAGTTTTGTGTAGGCAGGGAAACTTGAAGGGTTTAGGAATGAGCCAGAGAGCTGTCTGGTGGAAAACTGTTCCAGGGAGAGAGCACAGCAAATACAAGGACACTGAGGTGGAAGAATCATGGATAGAATCATGTGAACAGGGAAAGAACAATCAGAACACGTGGTCAGAAATGGAACTCAGGCACCACAGAGCTTATAGCCACTGCAAAGGCTTGGACTTTGCTCCATGGAAAGTAGGAAGGTATTATCAGGGTCTCGATGAGAGGCACAATTGGGCTTACATTTTAGCAAGCTAATCCTGCTATGTTGAATATTCCTCTACAGAGGGACAGACTGTTGATGGAGCTGTCACCATAATGCGTTGGAAAGATTATGGTAGCTGAGACAGAGTGGTGACAATGCAGTTGTTGAAAACTGGTAAAAACCAAGTTACTTTTTGAGATGTGTTGAGAATTCAAATGTGTGTGGGGTATTTGAGACATGGGATGAGGAAGTGCAGACAGGGGCAGAAGAAGGGAAAGAGAGATGAGTTATTACAAGGTTCTTTGGTCTGAGCAAGTCAGAAGGGTGAATTGCTATTAACTGGCATGTAAAGGACTGTGGAAAGAGGTTTGGAAGATTAACTGTTCAGTTTTCCACAGGTTAGGCAACATGAACCTGGACTTCCAGAAGAAGGTCTAGGATCAGTGGTGCTGAACCCATGGCACATATGCTATAGCAGGCTCTTTGTATCATCAAAAGCTCTAAAAGGTTCACCATCACTGGTGTAAACTTTAAGTTTTAATTTATCAGCATATAGGTCTATCTAAGACATGAGACAGATGAAATCCAAAACTGAGACATAGACTCGTTAGCATTTTTAGGGACCAAACCAGGAGATGAAGAAGAATAAGCAAAAGGAAGCTTTGAGTCCATAGAGTTAAAGAAGAAACCAAAAGAGTATAGTGTCCTGGAAGGGAACTGGAAAAAGTACTTTGGCCAGGAATCAGTGCTCAGCTTTGTCCTACACTCAAAGTAGAGAAGGCCTTGGATTTAGTGATCTGGAGAGTATTTTGATCTTGATGATTGCAGTTTTGACCTTGATAATTATAGTGGACACAGCCTGAGTAGAACTTCTGTTGGGAAAGAAGTGAGACTGGGAAATCGAAGTGAGATTGGCAGTTGCTGTGTATGTAGTGCCTTCAAAGTTTGTCTTAGAGGGGAAGCAAGAAGTGGGTTGGTACCCCTAGGGTAAGTGAGTCCTGGGATGGGAGAACTGATAGCATACTTACAGACTGATTGACCTGGCTGTAGCTGGAGTTTGATGCATAAGTGCTGACAGGTCTGAGGGGAAGGGACTTTGGGTTAGAAGTAATGCCATGTGACAGAGCATTTTGTGTTATAAGATTGTTGGGAAATGCCATGATTATGCTGGGTGACACGAGAACACTTGCATCACAAAAGGAGAATATAAGACATGCAGAAGATAGACCAGTGGCTGAGGAAGACTTCCAATTCACATACTGTCATTTTGCATTTTGAATGAGGTCTTGTTTACTACAGCCACTAAGTTGTCAGTGGAAATTCTTCCAGGTAGCACAGAAGTTTAGCTGCAATCTTACCCCAAAAGTTGTTTAAGTTGTTTAAAAGAATCCTTTCTTTTATGGTTGCTCAGCTATGTGAGAAAGGTAACTGAATGGATTCAAAGGTGGGAGTGGGGACCATTCACATATGCAGGATGCTTTTGGAAACCAGCATGCCTTTTATTGAGGGACTGGAACCAAGGTTTATGTTAACCACTGCATCTCTGTAACAGCATCTTTCAGAAACTCTGTTCCCCACTAATGTAGGTCTCTTCTTGAATCAAGGAATCTAGTAAACAAGGACTTACATATATGATTTAAACAAATTACCAGTGTTAAAACAATCATAAATCTGTGTACATTGTAGAAGTTGAGATACAGACCAGATGGAGAGTTTTTGTTATCAGCCAGAACTTGGGGGCCAGTGAATTGTTTGGGTACCGCAGATTCAGGAGCTGGTCCTTCTCTTCCCAAGAGTAGAGGCTTGATTTCATCCATTCATTAAGTGTAGGCTCTGCTGAGGTAATGCCTGTCCATCACAAGATTGGAAGATAGACTAAACACTAATGAATTAAAGATACTGTGATATTTGGGAAGCATCTAGATCTCACTATTACCTGCTACGAGAGCTATGTATGGCTGTATCACTGAAAGATGAAGGTCATGATTTTCAGTACGTGTGATCTTCATCCACAAACTACAAATGCCCTACTGTATAGTCTTTTGTTTTTTAAAACAATGGTTATAGTATAGTATGAAATACTCAGTTTGAAAAAAGCCTGATTCTATTACCAGACACCTTTTAGTCAATGACCTTGGGAAACAAAAATCTCTAAAACACTGTGTTTTCCCATTTGATAAATAGGTATAATCTTGTTACTACTATATTATAAATGTGTATGGATGTAGTGTATGGGACATGTTAAATTATCTTATGAAAAGCAATAGGTAGTACTTTATCTTATCTCAGATTTAATCTTTCACATTATGTCTGCTGGATATACTACTTTTTTTCTCTTCTCTAACAGAAGAAGCAAATGAATTATACTGAAAGTTAAGGATATGGCAAGAAAGAAAAGAAAGATATTGCTTTTACACAATTTTTTTCATAGTGCCAATATGATATGCCCCAGCCTAGTTGATTAGTATACTAAAATGAACATAACTGATATGTATTGGAATTCACCAATATGCAAAATTAAAATCATAATTGTGGCATAGAAATAATGATGAAAACACTTCTATCACTTTTTTATCTCATCTTAAATATTAATTTTATTTTTCTCTGCAGGTTTTAATGTGTTAAACTTTATTTTGGCAGATGATTAGGAAGATATGGTTCTATGGATTATTTTTGTACTAGAATAATCTTTCATTATTAATCCATTTGTCTTCTCTCAAATCAGTTCATCAGTGTTAGCAATTAAAAATAGAAAATGCATGCACTCAATTTGAAGAATTAAAAGTAATGCCTTGGGAGTAAGCATTTCTCTTCTGGGGTGGGAGGATTGTTGGATTTTCCAATTAAAGAAGTCTCCATACTGGAAATGAGTAGTCAATTATGAAAATTATTTTTGAATAGCCAATTTACATATCCCTAATTGTATTCATTTCTTTTGAAAGACACAGAAGTTGGAATTTATGATGTTTTGATTGGTTACCCCAGCACTTACGTTATTAATACTGTTGCCAACAAGGTTCCTCCATGAATGGGGCTTTGAGTGCCTTTTTTGGGTAAATTTGCGAATCATAAGTAGCTTTGTTTTATTTAATGAATGAAAAAGATCTAAAGGTTTACTAGCAGTTTTCAAATTTACACACTGCACTCTTTAGATTGATAATAGCATCCCTGACCTGCTGTCTGAATCCACCCTTGGACTTTTCTGTATCAGTAGGTGTAAAACATTTGAAGTTCACTATGATAGTGCTGTCATCTGGCCAAAGTGCACTCTCTGTCCATGCTATCTGTGCAGTAGTATCTGAGTGAGAGGTAGAACTATTTTTGTATATTTTTTCCTTTAATGAAAATGACTTAACAATGAAAATTCAAAGTTTTTATATTGATGATACATAGCTCTCATATGAGACCAAACTGAGATGGAGATGGGAATAATTAGGTTAAAAGTGTGGATGTTGAGTTGTCTTAGGATTGTTAGACTTCAGCCATTCGACATAGAAAAATTCACGCAAGAAAAGGATGAAATGAGAGGCATGTACAAAAATTAGTTATCTGCCTCTATACTACAAAAGTAGACTGTTTATAACAGTACACTGTGTGTACCTGTGTGTAGATTTAGATATTCTTCAGGAGGACAGATGTAATTGGAGATTTTATAATGTGTTTTACCTTCTGAGACTGGGATGTCCACTGTTACTCTGTCTATTGTTTAGTATGTATTATGTCTATACTAAGTCTGTTTTTCAGTTTGTGCATATTTAACTTCCTTTTTTTCTTTAGGAATATTTTAAAAATAAAATGTTAGTGAAATTTTTTAGACAAATCGAGAAAAGTGTTGAAAGGAGGAGGCAGTCCTTGCATTTCTTAAAAAGAGCCAAAATCAGCTGTCTATTTTAGGAACAGACCAAATAAAAGAACAAACCATTCATTATGTCTGGCCCTGGAGCTTATAGACATAATATCATTGAAAAATTAAGAGTTGTGATATAGTAACATTAAAATTTTAAGTTTGAAGAGATTTATTCTTTAAAACCAAGTAAAGATCAGAATCAGCTAGATACGGTGTCTCGATGATATGCATGTCCTGCAAAGTGATTTAGTGTTGTTGGCCTTGTTTACAGCTGATTGCTGTGTTTGATGAACAAGAACCACCCCACAAGATTGAGAGCCCCGATGGAAACCCTGCAGATTGGCAGAGCCCTGATGCTTTGGAGACAGAAGTGGCTGCTCAAATGGCTTCATTTAAACCAATCAGTGGGGAAATTGAAGTAACCCCTTCTTCTCTGAAGTTAGGTACGTGTATTGTCAGTGGTGTGATCTTCATCCGGTTAAAAGTGTGTCGTCTTATGATTGTGTTACTTCTTTATGACTTTTATCCTATTAATATTTTTTCTTAAAAAATTGTGTTCGTCTTTCTCAGAATTGCTTTTTTAAAAATAGTTCTTTGTGGCTTCTGCAGTACTGCTAAGTACTGTAGATAGAATTTTTTCCCTCTTGAACTGAAGGTAAATATGAATTGCATGTCCTTGAAGTAACATAGGGGCGAGTCAGACTGTAAATGATGAGATTCAACAGTATCCTGTGAGGATCACTTTTTAAGAATTTCTTGAAAAAGTCATTTGGAAAAAGCAGAGGGTTACCAAGGAACTCAGACAAAAAATAAAGGCCACTTTCTTCCCTACCTATCCTTCTTTTCTTCCAATATATATCTCAGGCTTTACAGAGAATATTTTGAAGTTAGTTTTGAAATTCTTTCCTGCTGGTTTATTCAAATAAGAACAATTCACCTGGAAATTTTACTCAGAATTCTTTTTCATAATATTTGTTTTGAAGTTGTTTGTATAAAGAAAATAAACATTCTTCTAAAGTTTCAGTCAATTTACAACTCCAAGAGAAATAACATATTTTTGTGATACCTCATAAAGGTTAGATCAGTTTAACAGCATGGAAGTTTTTAAAAATGTGGTAATATTTTGGTACATAAAACAATTTTCGTTCCTGTCTATTGTGTATACAACATTCTGGGCCTGCTTAACACATCTCTTAGAGTTTAATTCTCAAGCCAGTAGGACAGGCTTTTTTTACTTTGCAAAGAGAAAGTTTTGGAGCAAAGTGTGCTCCAAAGTGTAAACATCGGGCAGAGTACTCACATTCTTCACTTCAAGTGAAACCTCTACTTTAAGTAGATTTTACATGTGACTACACCAAATAACCATATTTTGTCCTGATTTTCTGAAAAGCATCTATGCTCTTTCTTTTAAAACCAACCAAAGGGAAATTAATGACCTTGTGTACTTCATGGTTTTCCTCTGTTTTTTGCAAGTCAGGCTAGCAAAGCGGTCTGCTGGAACATGGATGGTGAAGGGTTGGGTTGCAGCTCTTGCTAGGAGTCAGGACTGTGGCTTCAGCAACCTTGCAGCCACACTACTCATTTGCGTAATGGATGAAAAAGCACCCATTATGTAAATGTATGACAGGAAAACTAGACAATAAGGGAAGACTGAAGGAGAACATGGCTTGTTTTTAATATTCTACTTATAAGCTAGTGCTGTGGGCTTCAAGGGGCTGAACCTCAATGTATCCATGTGCCTGGAAACTGGTTTTCAACTTTTATGAAGTTTCTCAGGAAAACAGTTTTGTTGTCTTTCAGTGCTTTTTACGACTTTTTTTGCCATTGAATCACCTGAGCTTTCCTTTCTTTGATAGTGAACTTTGTACACCTTCAGAACTGAGTTTTTTATTAGACAGGGACACTGAGCTGAAGTTAGTGGACTGAATAAAATAACTCCTTCACACTTAATACCCCATTTTAGTCTCAGAATGCTTAATTAGGTTTTATTATTTTCTTCTTTTAAGAAATGAGGATTAGGCACCCAGAGATTTACTAACTCATCTAAAATCCTATGACTGTTGGGTGGCAGAGCCAAGATTTTAAACTTACTGGGTCCACTGTCAGGAACCCTTTTACTATGCTACCTCTGATACGCTTTCCATAAAATAATAAACTGATACAACTTCCCTGGGGTTTGCTTCGTGAGTATATACCAGAACCCTGGCTCCCAAACCCCATTTTACTTAGTAACATAAATTAAATGAGATTAGCTGACAGTCACGTTTGGTGACAAAAGTTGCCTCTCACACATGGAGCCTGAAACCTTGGCATCATCTCCAGCTCCTCCTTTTTCTTCCCCACACTCCTGTCTGTCCACTCTTTAGCTTTCTTTGTCCACAACTGCTGTGCCCGGCCAGAGTATCATCAGTTGGATCAATGCACAAGCCTCAGGCTGGCCTCTTGCTCACAGCGCCTGCCTTCTTCAGTCACTACTGTTGCCAGAGCGACCCTTCCGAAGCACAGATCTGATTATATAAGCCCCCTGCTTAGAAAACCTCTAGTAGTTCCCCACTGCCCTGAGGACCATGTCCAAGCTCATCAGCCAACTAATACAAATGATCCCTGTGAATCAGCTGGAGGAATTTGGGCAGCAATGAATGATGTGGGAAAAATCATCCCTTTCCTTACCTTCTTGGTATAGCAGATTGAGTACTTTCCATTCCTGGAATAATAAAGAGTGGAAATTTATATTTATCTGTGTTCAAGTAGATAGAGAAGTGAAGGAAGACAGCAACAAAGCCATTTTTGGCCTCTGTCATTCTCTTTTCCTCTTGTTGGTTCCTGGGTAAGAAAGGGTCACAGCCGGGTGCCTCAGGATGAGGGGATACAGTGCGCAGTAGAAGCAGTGTTTCAGGTTCCTTGGGAGTGTAACCAGTTATGCTGTCATGCTGAGACCCTGTTTAGGTGAAGAATTGGAAGGTGCTGTCACAGAATGAATAGCCCTCATCAAGACAGAATGCCCATGATGTGTCATTCTTCCCTCAAGCCCTCGGCCTTTCATTGTCCCCACTGAGCTCCTGGAAGCCATGAGGGCTAGTTTTGCCTCTGAAGGAGCTCATTCACTAGGCTAGCCCAAGAGAAGCAGGACCTAATTATCACCGCTTTTCTCACTCTTAAGGCCTATTCAAGAAAATGGGAAAATCAATCATTACTTGTTTACATGCTTTTCTTACTGAAGAGACACAATTAACAAATATTAGGCATCAAAAGATTTTTATGCTTACATCATTTTGTCATAAAAATTGTCAGTTTTATTGGTATCTGAGATCAAACTACACTCAGTGTTTAGTATAATTTTGTACCTTCTTTTCCAACACAAGATAAGCAGCAACAGTGTCACATTTCATGTGAAAGACAAACAACAACTCTCCCCATACTATAGAATGGACACAGAGGTTGGCCCTCCTACCCAAATTTAATGCTTATGCACAGAATAGGCATAAACGTCATACTCACTGGTCCTCATGATGTAGCTGCTGCTTCTTGGCCCATCTGTATTGCTGGCAACTCATCCACAATCAACCTGTAGCCACTGTGAGCCACTTGCCATTTCCCACAATTACTACTTTCTCTCAAATTGCTATGCTTTTGTAGATCCTTGACCTGGATCACTCCTTTGACTCTTTTTACCTAGTAGACTCATGAACCTTTTAAACCCATACTCAAGATCTTTTTTTTTGTAAAACCTTCTCTAGATCTTTAAGGCAGTGCCATAAGTGTAAACAGGATGTTTCTTTATTCTTCATTCAACAAAGATGGATGACAAAGGTAAACATTAAAAATCTTCTGCCAACCAAAAGTGTTCACATTTTCATGCTGTATAAACTAAGGGGATATATTTTTAATTTATAAAAAGAGTTTAAATCAGGTGGGCAACCACACAATTCCAACTTTATTCATCTAAATTATTTCATAGCATGTATTTTCTGGTGCATTTTCTAATGTAATGCCAAATGACAGAATCCTGACTCAGTCCCAACTAGCACATCATTCCAACACTTCAAGATTCTATATTTCTGAAACAATCCAGTGTTTATTTTCATATCTCCTAAAATTATTAACCTGAGAGCCTGCTTAAGAAATAAGGTGGCCAAAACATCAGGTGGAATAGCAAAGAGTCATTCATCATAGGAAGAGTCACAATAGTGAAATAATATAGTTAAAAATTTTTCAAAGTCTGCTCTATGGAACCTGTGATTCTTCTGAGCATATTTCCATGACTGAACAAATGTTTGACTTTAGTTAGTTAATAGTATTTGTTCATGCTCCACCTCTAGACAAATAATATTGATTATGCTAGTAAGGAAGGAAGGGGTCCAGAAGCTTGTTAGGCAGGCAATAAGCAAAGTCCAGATGCTTCTTAAACATCCTATGGCAAAAGAGCCTAGCTCTACTCAAAGCATTATGTACATCTCAGAAGAAATTTTGTGAAATACTGATCTTGAAAGGCACTGATCCAGATAGTTTGATGATTGGCAGTTGTCCAGACAATTGACATTACATTAAAAATGAACATATAAAAGCTTAAAGTCAGTGTGTCCTCTGATGTCTAAAAACTTATTGGTTAAAGAACTAGAATTAGAATCTGTGTCTCTTGGCTATTAGTAGAGCATTCTTTCAATTCCATGATAGTTTGGGGATTAATTGTAAATTTCAATTATCTTTCTCTTTTCAGTAGTATATGTTGTAAAATAGTACCTCATATCTTTTTAGAATTGAGAATAAAGTGTATATTAATAAGTAAATGCTATACATAGCTGTAAATCAAAAGGGAATGAAGGAACCAAGACCACAAAATGGAGGTGGCTGAAATTTCGTTTAAGTACCATAAAATGTAGAAGTAAATCTACTCTTCTCACTTCTTGTGCATTTAGCAAGTGTGTGGATATAGGTGGGTTTTTTGGGTGGTGTACCTCTCATGCTAAGAGGATCTGAAGAGATTATTTTTCTACAATGTGGGTTTTTCTGTATTTTTTGATATTTCTGTCCTTTGCACATGAAGTCATAGATAAATAAGACCAATTAGTGTAGATAATTGTTGTCAAGAGTCCCTTAGCCTTTCCCTGACTAGTCCTTGTGTTAGCTTTTTGATCAGTGGTTCCTGATCTTTTGACCCCTAAAAGGTATTCTGTAGCCTTAACCCAAGGTTGAACTAACCCTCGTTCTTTGAGAATCAGTCACATGGAACTTGTTCCAGACCCTACAGAGTTTGAAGTAGGTATGAGTCTTAGACAAGACATTTCACATATTTCTCTTGGGGCCACATTTTTCCAAACAAAAGATAAACTGAGACTCATTTGGGTTCTTATAGAAGTAGAAATCCAGTTTCAAGGACATCCAGGCCATTCTCTATTGTGTCACCTCCATACCTTCTAGGCCACAGTTTCCTTGACTATAAAGC